GCTGAAACATGACTGTAGCCTAATCTCTCCACTGTTTAATTGTGGCATGATTGCCACGTCCAGATGCGTTTTATGTATCAGAACATGTCTAATGTTAGCAGAAGTAGAAAAAACTGGTTTGTATAATTTGATAAGTTTTCCTGTGTTGTTTTATTCCTCTCTTTCCATAATAGGGATAACAGATTGACTACATTGGATTTTAGAGGTAAAGATGAGATTTATAGGTAAAAATAAATTTTATCTAGAATTTTTGAGTCAAATCTCAAACCAAGAATCATCAAATGAGCTCGAAGAAATGCAGTGGGAAGCTTTCAGAACTTTTTCTATCAAGATGCTTATGAACAAGTCTGTATGTATGCTCAAGGGTTGTGGATAGTGATGCTGGTACTACTAGATTGGGGTAGTGATGCTGGTACTACTAGATTGGGGTAAAAAGCGTATGTGTCTGAACCTCTGTGATCCATCTCCGACTGGAAAAGTAGCAGCATACTTGGCTGCTCTGTCCCTCGAGCTCTGTGCCTCTAGTCCCTCATAATGTACCTAAGGTATCCTTGAGGTAGAAGATGCCTGAAGGGAAAGGTGTGAAGGACTTTGGAGGTTCCACTCAACTTATGCATTAATAAAGGAGCCATCATTCCTTCTTTTCCCTTATGGTTTAAAAGGTCTCCCTGCCATTTTACAAATTTCTTTTTGTTTTTTAGTTTCTTTATAACAATTTATGACTTGTCTGGATTTTCCATTAATATTTTACATGTTGAGGGACACAATGTTTTAAATCCTGTGATTCTCCTGTGCCTAAACTGTTTCTAAATTATATCATACATGGGAACTGTAGCCAGGAGTTAAAAATCTGGCAGTTAAAACTTGGATTCAGTACAGGTTTTCTAATGTTCCTTGGAATCACTCAATATGACCTCTTGATGGGTGAGTGTCTGTCTCTCTTTTTTGTAATTCCTGGGGGTTTCAAAGTTGGAAGTCAGAGAAATACAGAACTGATGATGCAGCTTTATTTGGAAAATGTGTCATTTTATTTCTACATATTTCAGATGTGGTTGTGTATGTGTGCGTGTGTGTGTGTGTGTGTATGTGTGTGTGTGACCAATGTAAAGCTGTAAATATATTAAGAGAAAAAATTGCATATAAATGTGTGCATACTTAAAAAAAACCTCTTAGCTTTACAGCATAAAATATCTTCTGTCTTTATGTGTTAGATTATAATTTATTACTCTGCAGGAGATTCCCAACCTGGGAACAAAAGCATTTGCACATGTGTTGCTGAAGATTAGTTCAGGGAATGGGAAAAAGAGGAGTTAATGGTAAAGAGCTAAGACATAAATTTTGAGAAGCTGTTATTGTTCAAGTACTATGTTAGGTGCTCCACTCACCGTATTCCATTTAATACCACAATCCTAGGAGGTAGCTGTTATTCCCCCTAACTGGGTCAGGGAAAATAACTGTTATTTTCCTTTACCGAATAAGGAAAGTATGTCTCAAAGTATGTAGCTGGTCTAAGGTTGTACAGAGAATGTGGCTGAACTGGGATTCAAAACTGCCTGGGCTTGTACAGCTCTGAGGCTCATGTTCTTTCAACTTCATGCAGAAATGGGAGTGCCAAGGGCTTGAATAATAAGGATAGTCTTGTTTTCTGGTCCAATTATTGGCTCACCTGCTTCCCTAGCCATTACCTCTGTGTGATTTATTGCAAATCATGGCACCATCTCTTAGGCCTTTTCTCTGCCATTTCTGTGGTTACTTCTTTATTCAGTTTTGTCAAAGTTTTTTGTTTTTGTTTTTGTCTTTCTGTTAGTTAAATGAAATGTCTTTTTAAAAATTTTCCTTTTTCAGTGTTTTGTTTTGTTTTTGTTTTTTCCTTTCCATGGAATCCTTTAAGTATAAACAAGATTCCACATAGAAGCTCTGGTATCACTCTGGCTAAACAAAGATTTAAGTAAAATTTAACGAAAATACAGAAGGGAACCAGACATAAGTGGCTCTGAGCACTTTCTCAGAAAAATTGGGATACACACTAGCATAAAAACTGTATCATTTTAAAGACATATCTTCCCTTCAGTATTCTCATGGGAATTCACATCACAAATAACAAAAAACTTAAGCTTATTTTGTTTTATGAGTTACGGTCAGGAGACGAATTTCTGCTAGTAGGGCAGTAGCATTGAATTTGGGGAGGCATTGGCACAGGGGCTGGAGAGGGAGGTGCAGCTTTGATAGTTGGCATTTTCATCTTCCTTACTCTCTCACATCACAAGTTATGTTCCTAAATTTTCTTCTTCTTTTTTAAAAAAAATGTTTGTTTATTTTTGAGGAAGAGAGAGCATGTGAGCATGAGCGGAGGAGGGGGAGAGAGAGAATCCCAAGCAGGCCCTGCACTGTCAGCACAGAGCCTGAAGCGGGCCTCGATATCAGGAACTGTGAGACCATGACGTGAGCTGAAATCAGGAGTTGGATGCTTAAACTGACCGAGCCAGTCAGGCACACCTATGTTCCTAAATATTCTAATCTGAGACAATTTAGGTAAGAGAAGGAGCTAGTGTGAGGTCTGGGAGGGCATAAAAGGTTATAAAGTCTTTTAAAAGATATTGTTTTATTCAGTCTTTATAACAAATATGTGAAGTGGGTAGTGCATTGTATTACTTGGCTTTGCAACAGTAACAACCCTCTAATCTCAGTGGTTTACAGCAATGAAGTTTGTCATTTATGTTTCATGGAGGCTATAAATCAGTGCATGTCTGCTTCCTGAGTGCTCTTCGTTCTAGAATCCAGGCTGAAAGAGCAGCCCCCTTATGGGTGTGTTATAATAGCAAAGGATTAGGACAAATGTCACATTACATTGGACAAAGCATGTCATATGTCCAGGTCCAAAGACAGAGTGTGTGAAAATGTATACTCCTCTCATGGCCAGGTAGTATTATAATGTACCACAGGCAAGTATTGCTATTGTGGTTGCCCTTCTTATTCTACACAAGTGGAAACCAAGGCATAGAGAAGTTAGAAGAACTGTCCAAGATCGCACTACTGACAAGTGGTTGAGGACAGTTTGGAACTCAAGTTGGACTGGAGGCCATTACTTTATGTATTATACCAACAAGAATGACATTTTCTTTCATTTATCCCTTTATTTTTGTTGATGACATTGAGAACAGTTTTCCTCCTAATGCCGTACTAGAACAGTGTCCATTGTTTCCTTCTCTTCCAGTCTTTCAAATCAATGGCTTTAACATAAACCTTAATCTTCAAATGATTTCTGTATGACAGAAGTCAGTACTTAAAAGTTACAGATAGTTGGGGTGCTGGGTGGCTCAGTTGGTTAAGCATCTGACTCTTACTTACGGCTCAGGTCATAATCTCACAGTTTTGTGAGTTTGAGGCCTGCATCAGGCTCCATGCTGACAGCACAAAGCCTGCTTGAGATTCTGTCTCCCTCTTTCTGCCCCTCCCCCACCCATGCTGTCTCTGTCTCTCTCAAAATAAATAAATAAACTTAAAAAAATTAAAGTTACAGATAGTCCAGTTTTTGATGAAAGTGTGAATTAAAAAAATAAAATTCTTTTTCAAATCTGGAACTGAGATTAATTATTGTTTAATAAAAATTTGTCCTAAGTCCCATAGTTCTTTGTATCAGTTAAAGGCATTGTCTATGAAAGAGGGCCAAATGTAATTTATAATGGTGCTTTGTGTGGACTTTCACTGATAAGGAATTTTGTGAGCCTTTTCAGAATGGGAAGCATTATTTAAAAAAATTTTTTTTAATGGTTATTAAATTTTGAGAGACACAGAGTACGAGCAGGGGATGAGCAGAGAAAGAGGGGGAGACACAGAATCTGAGGCAGGCTGCAGTCTCTGAGCTGTCAGCACAGAGCCCAATGTGGGGCTCAAACTCAGGAACCATGAGATCATGACCTGAGCCGAAGTCTGATGCTCAGCCAACTGAGCCACCCAGGCACCCCCAGAATGGGGAGCATTGTTAACCGAAGTGGTGGTATGACCCTGGTTTGTTTCCAGCCCAGTCTTCCCTGAATTCTCTAAACCTCAGGCTAGCAGAGCTGCTGACTTCCCAGAACACTTAGATCTCTCCTTTCTTGTCTCTGGGTCTTGGCTTAGGATATTGTTCCCTCAGCTGAAATGCTTCCAGCCTGATCCACCTTTTCAGTCAACCGGGTCTGATTGTAACAGTTTTTCAAGGCTTCATCTTTAAATGCTTTGTGCTCCAAGAAGTCTTTTCACATCTCATCGAATACAAATAGAAATCCTCAAACAATGCTTTGCTTGAACTCTTGTACTCCTTCTTCCCCTTTTGCCCAATACCTTTCACCTAACAGATATGCAACAAATGATTTTTTAATGGAAATAAATTGAACTACTGTATTTGCTAAATTGAAGTTTTTGTGTAGAATTGATTCATATATTTATTTAACAAATAGTTGTTAAATGCCTACATTTGTAAGACACAATTAACTTGCTAAAGGTAACATAACAATAGAGTGATGTATTCAGGACTGAAATCCAGGATTGCCTGACTCCACAGCCAGTGCTCTTGAACACTACCTAGGTATCAAAAGCTAGAGATTTCTGAATGCTAGAGAGCTTCACTGTTGGGCAGATACTAATCTTCTTTCTTCCCCTTAAAAATTGTATAAAGTATTTTTACCAATGCCTTTTTAGGCTACTATTTAGTCTTGGTTTCAAAATTGTCATTAAAACCATTTTTTCCTATTAATGTAAGATGTTCCCATCGAAAGTAAAATAACATTTTCTGTATGGACTGACTGTGTTGGGTAAATTGTTCTACCTAAAGGCAGATTCAGGTTTTGTGGGTTGTGAGCTTACACATTTTTTTTTTTCTGGCCCCTTTTAAGAAAAAGAAAAAAAGAAAAACTACAAACATTAAAAAAAAAAAAAGGTATGCCATATTTAACATAGGAAAAGAAATCATGACAATTTACTTGAACTTGGAGGTTCAGATCTCTTTTTTTTTTCCTAAGGTATCTTGAGGCAATTTACCAGAAATGCTTACATAGAAGAGTCTTTATTGCCAACCTGGCTTCTCCTCACCTAGGATACTTTGCAGCTCCTGGCGACTCCAGGCACCCCAGGGACCATGCATGTGAGGCTTTATTCACTTCTCAGTAAGTCCCCCCTCAGTCTTGGCAGTTTAAAAGTGATGGTCAAATTGCATTGAGTTTAGTCTTAGATGAGTTTTTGAGTTTATTTTCTAGACTTTTTGTGACGTTTTCCTAGAAAATGGAGATATTTATTAGGAATGGCATTGTGAGACACAAATTTCTTTCTAATTAAAAAAAAATTTTTTTCCCCATAGCATTGGATGAACTATTGTTATTGTAGAAACCATTTGGTATGAATATAATCTCTTTTTGGAAATATTGAAATGGAACATAAATAATGAAAATCTGTTCTTAAATGAATAGTGCTGTCACTAAGGTTTTTAATGTAGCTCAGACACTGTTCAGAATAACATTACGCTGAATCAATCACTTCGATTTTTAAAAAAATCTTGTAAGTGACTACACTTTGTTGAAGGATTTAAGTCATTTTTTCCTTAAAACTTTGTTGAAGTATTGACCCTGCAAAGAGACACCACTGGAAATTAGTTTTTTTCGTGTAGTATTGAAAAATAGCAGCAGAGGGCCACATTGCAATGTGCTGGACTTCTTTTCTTCAAGAAAGAACATTTTCTGTCCATTGTTTGGCATCTGTTCTCTCATTTTGAGACTTGGCAATACATTTATTTGAAAAGAAGAATATTTTTATATAATTTTATTTTATTTTTAATTTTTTACTTTTATTGATTTATTTTGAGAGAGAGAGAGCATGTGAGGGAGAGGCAGAGAGAGAAGGAGAGAAAGAATCCCCAGCAGGCTCTGTGCTATCAGTACAGAGCCTGATGCAGGGCTCAATCCCATGAACTGTGAGATCATGACCTGAGCCGAAATCAAGAGTTGGACGCATAACCAACTGAGCCACCCAGGTGCCCTGAAAAAAAGGACTTTTAAATACAAATTTTACTCTATTGAGAATGGAAGATGCAATGTAAGCCTTAAAACTTATTACCTTTTTTTTCTTGGTTGCTCTGAAGATGTTGAAATTTTGACATCTTTCTTCACTTCCTTCCACAGCGGTAAGGAATTAATACTCTTTTAACTTTTCGGTGTAGGCCGTTACTTTATTTCTTAAGCTCATCCAGTTTGTTGGCAGGTTATTATGAGAACACATTCTGACAAATTATGTTACTTTGTTCAAAGGATCAGAAAAATTACATGGCAGCAGTTCATAACATAATATCACACTTACTACATCTTCCAATTTCCTTTCAGCTGATTGTGCTCATGTTCTAACAAAGTTATTCCCTATAGTTAAAAAGAAAGTTGTAGGTTAAAACTATGTCAAGATGTTAAAAATGATTGAGGCTGAGTATGTGTGATCTGCTCAATAAAACTGTCTTACTTATTTTGTGGGCTCATTTTCTGATTAGCTTGACTGTGATCAGGACAGATAATGGCATAGAAAATGAAAGGATTGGCTGAAATACAGCTTAGTGCACCCTAAATATGTAGACACGAGTTTGCACTTAATCCCAGTAAGTTTCTTTTTAACACTATAGTCTAGCAGACCACAAATATTTTTAATAACTCTGGGTTCTGCAGTCAAATATATTTATTTTTGTAGTCTTAACCTGGTTTCTTATAATTATGTTCATAGAGAGTTTTTTATCTTCTCCAACCATCATTCATTCTCACTAAAAGTACATTTCTAGAATCCTGCTTTTGAAAAAAAGGATTCTAATCATCCTTCAAAAAGGACTTGTTTTGGGATGAAAGAGTTTCAGAATAATGAATTATTGTTCATTACCAACTTTCAGAATCCTTGTGTCTTGAGGAACTTGAATAATTTAACTACTAGGGACTATAAACATTATATAGAAAAGAGCCAATATTTTATTGAGATTAAATGAATATATAACGTCATATAGAAACATGTAAACATTGTATGGAAACATAACATAAACATATAAAGATTGTAGAGAAATATTATATAGGAAAGGGCCTCCATATAAACTTTAGATAAAAAACATCTATTTAAAAAATTTTTTTAATGTTTATTTATTTTTGAGAGACAGAGAGTGAGCATGAGTGGGGGAGGGGCAGAGAGAGGGAGACTGAGGATTCAAAGCAGGCTCTGCACTGTGAGCGCAGAGCCAGATGTGGGGTTCGAACTAATGAACCTGTGAGATCATGACCTGAGCTGAAATCGAGAGTTGGCCGCTTAAGCAACTGAGCTGCCCAGGAGGCCCTAGATAAGAAACATTTAAACATTGTATAGAAGAGGGCCAATATTTATTGAGATTAGGTGAATATTTATTTTGTATGTATTTGTTGTGATCCACAAAACAAAATGCTAATAATAATGACTGTCAGACAATTTAGAATATGCCCTACTATTAACTTTCTGTGATAAAATGTCATATATTTGATTCTCTTTTCTGATAAAGCATTATATAAATAAAATTGGATAAAATTGGATAAAATTTCAAGGCTTAAAAACAACCACTTCAGGACTTCTGAATTGACCAAAGTCGTACAAGTTGAAAAGCAATTATTTATGAAAAAAATACTGAATGTCAAATAAGAACAGTGGGAGTCTGGCATTTTTTGCCGGGGGCTTCTCCCATCCACCCCCACACCCATGCTGATCTGAGCAGAAATGTACAGGGCACTGCAAAACAAGAAAGCCAGCAGCTTCGGAGCAGAGTGGAGACAAACCTCACGTTCAACAGTGTTGTCAATAACAGTACTGGTTTTGGTGGCAAATGAAGGCTACCAATGGTTCGGGTAGCAACGAGGTTGCGGTAAGCAGTGGACTAGCAGACTGGCCTGAAATTTAACAGGGAGATAAGGGAGATAAGAGCTTTGGTAAGATCTCTGCATGTCCATCCAGGAGGGACTGGAGAAGACCCCCAAATCCCCATCTCCCTGGCTAAGCGTGAGACTGTATACCTGCAAAGAGCTGCTGCTAGAAGGCCTAGTGGGAAGTAAAATCCAGGACATTATTGAAAACTGACTGATTAATTCAATAAGGCTTTCTTTAGGTCATTTAATTAGGCTTAAAAGGCCATGAAAGGATTATATGATTCCTTCTATTTTTGAAAATTCTTTGTAATTTCTAAATATTTAACTTAGAAATACACTAGAATAGGGAATAGCTTTTTAATCTCTGAATTGTGAATCTTTGAAATCTTTCTCTCCACCTACAGAGTAGAACTCAGCTTTTGCGAGGTTACCACAGCTGGAGTAGGTAGAATGCAAATCAGATTGAAACATTCTGATTTCCAAAAATTCATATTCTTAAATACTATGCTATATTTTCAGATGATGGTGATATAGAATATAAAATATCTTTAACATAATATCATAGCAATCAAGTTAATTTATACAGTTATTGGTACGTTAAGCCAGTATATACTTTATAGTTGATCCTTTAAAAAAACTTTGTATTAAGGAGAATTTCAAACAGTTACAAAAATAGATAATATAACAATCCTTTATGTATATATCCATTACACAGCTTTGAGCTTTTTCTATAAATGCTAAAATTACTGCTTGCTGTGCTAATCTTTATTACAAAAGGGAAATAATCCTATTTATTTATTTATTTTATTTATGTATGTTCATTTATTTTGAGAAAGAGAGTGTGTATGTGTGTGCGTGTGAGTGGGGGGAGGGGCAGAGAGAGAGGAGAGAGAACATCCCAGTCTCCTTGCTGTCAGCACAAGCTCGATGTGGTTCTCAATCTCACGAAATGTGAGATCATGACCTGAGCTAAAATCAAGTGTCAGACATTTAACCAACTGAGCACCCATGCATCCCAACAAAAGGGAAATAATTAAAGATGAATTTTTGTAGGGTAAACACTAATTGCTTTTAAATTTTGCAATTAAAAATCTCACTAATCTATTTTACTAACTCATTGAATAATGACTGAATAGTGACTATTTCCTTTTGGAATGGACATACTTAATATGTTTTTAAAAGTAGTCAACACAGTGGAAACAGCATAAGGAGTAGGAGGAGTAGGCAGATGGAAATATTCAGTGAATACTTTGGCATAATGGAGCGACCAAGTAGAAGGTAGCTGAATGGAGCTTCAGACTTCAGTTTCTTTAAGACATTGTCTCTGTACTTATGGCCCCATCAATCATCCATGGTCTAATGTATTTTTGTTTGTTTGTTTTATTTTATTTTTAATTTTTTTAAGACTTATTTTTAAAGCAGTTTAAGTTCGCAGCAAAAACGTTGAATGGAGAATACAGACAGTCCCCGTATCCCCTATACCCACATGCATAGCCTCCCCCACTTTGGACATCTCCCACCAGTGGTTCCTTTGTTACATTCAATGAACCTACAATGACACAACATTATCGCCCAAAGTCCATAGTTTACTTTAGGGTTCACTGTTGGTGCTGTACATTCTATGTGTTTTGACAAATGTGTAATGACATGTATACATTATAATAGTGTCATACAGAGTAGTTTCACTGCTCTAAAACTCTGGGCTGGTCTTTTGTTTATAACATCTTCTCTTTTATACACATTAGTACTGTTCTTTCTTGTATTTCTAATAACATGTCAGGGTTTTTAGTGACTTTTGGCGGGGGGTTAGATAACTGACCACCAGTTACAATTATTGCAACGTGTGCCCAATGGTATGCAACAGAGGTGTGTATGTGGAACTGGAAGGAATTAGTAGCATGATCAAACCTATTCTTTCAGGCCACCTATGAAGTATTTTGTGTTGCACAGAGCATTTAACTACTTTATTTGAAACTTTAGGACCCTTGAAGAGAATGTGATATTTTAAGCCATATGTTTCCCTAATAGTCTTCAAATTCCAAATGTCAAATCTATTTACAATAACTCTGGCTTCTGAAAGAAACTATTTTATAGTTCTGCCTCTTCTTTGGCCTTATATTCTGTCCCACAATTCAGTAGTGAATGTCATTGGTAAAGCTTTGATTTATTTCTGGGAAAGTCTTCCTGGATTTTTCTGCATGGTTTCCTTAAGAAATTGGAAGTTATGCATATCCAGACTATATTCATTTTATTTGACAAAC